TAATACTTTTACATTTCCTGTCAACTTAATATATTTTAATACAAAAACACGGTGGACCGGCGGTGGACCGACTTGACGCCCTGACCACCGGGCTTAGCAAGTTTTCTGGGGGAAACCCTGCACATGTAAGAGAAAATCATTGTAAAATCAGTGTTACATGTTGTGCCTGCAACTATAAACTGAACACATTGAAAGTGGTGTTTGATTATGGGAAGTGAAGCTTAAAACAATGTTTGCAAGAGGTCCTAATAACAACGTTCATGGGCGTCACCATGTTGAAATTCCGACTTCATGACTAGAATGCCGTTACCTGGGTCTGACATCAAACCCAGCTCAGAGTTCCCACTTCCCAGGTACCTGGAACGCATCATGAGTTTGATGTTTCACAGAAATTAACATGTGGTTAGAGGAGAAAACAGTAAATTTAAGGAAGTATGAGGCAGCTTTATGCAATTTTTGTAATCAAGCTGAAATGAATGAATGTAATTGAACTAAATAAAACAACAACACCTAATATTAATATAAATTCATAAAGTTTTTTTTAACAAGAGAGCGATACCTTATCAAGGTTTTAGTGTTGAAAAATGTTTAATTTTTGTGCATGTACCTTTGTACATTTTTACTTTGTTGCCAGTTTTCATTTAATTTAATTTCTTATTTTATTTTATTTTTTATTTCATTTTGTTTAGTTGAATTTTATTGTATCTTATATCCTGAGTGTTGACTGTGGAGGTTGGTGGTGTTCAATGTTTGCTTGAATGTATTTGTTTCATTTACACAAAAACTTAATAAATATATTGTTAAAAAAAAAAGTTTGCTGTTCAGTGATCCTAAATCAAGACTGGGTTAGGAAAATAAATAAATATTTCTAGAATTTCCTGACATCAAGTCAATTTAAAAAATTAGAATTATACCAAAAAGCCTTTTCTGCTTTCAGAAACCAGCTTTTTTAAATGAACTCCACTCGTTCTGATAAGAAGCTCTAATATCCAGCCACAAGCTGCAAAACCTGGTTTGACAGGGACATTTATCTGTTATTAATTGCATGCACTGGGTATGTATACATTTGAGCTTATGTGGATTTTAGAAAGTCCAACATAAATTCAAACATGTGCACCTTTTCTTGTTTTTAGGATTCATAAAAGTTGCATCTTGCATGAGCAGTCCACTCTGAAACAACAGCTTAATGCCTCATTCAGAGTTCAGGATGAATATGATAATAAAGACCATGATGAGGAACCCAAACCTCTGATGCTATGTGAACAAAGATTCCTGTTAGAAAACTACCAGGAGTCATTTATCCAAACACCATCAGTAACTCAAGACTTCTACATCTAATATTGTGCTTATTTTTTTTCTGTCACAACAGGAAGTCCTTATTTCTTATATTTAATGACTTTAAATAACTATGAAAACTCTAATATTTTCAGTTTACAAACCCACTTCCTGTTTCCAAAAATATTCAATTTTTTTATCTTAATATTCAAAAGCATCATAACGTTTGACCACTGTTGGAATACCTATTCAGTATTTCAGCAAAGCGTTGCATCTTCTATGTTAATCTACTTTGGTCTATCTGATAAATTCAATCTACTGGCTAAAAATCTATAGATCACTTGGCTAAGGACTGCACTGAAGAGAAAGCATGCCATCTTAAAAACACTTTATCTGTTAATCGGTGTGTGTGTGTGTGTGTGTGTGTGTGTGTGTGTGTGTGTGTGTGTGTGTGTGTGTGTGTGTGTGTGTGTGTGTGTGTGTGCGCGTGCGTGGGTGTGGGTGTGTGTGAGATTATCGCTGCAGTAAAAGGGCCGATCGGAGGTCACAGGTCCTGCCCATGCATCTGCTGCTGCATCTTCTGCAGCATCTGCTGCATCCTCCTCAGCTGCAGAGGACCAGCCACATGGAGACAGAAAGATGGAGAGGAGAGCAGCGTGAGGAGCAGACAGACTTTCAGAACTCTTCAACCTTTTTCACAGTTTATCACACCATGAACGTAAACTTCAGGGAACTTTTAACATTGATTATGTGACAAACCAACACAAAGTAGTGCATAACTGTGAAAGGAATGGAAATGATGCATTATGTTTTATATTAGTTACCAAAATGTAAAAAGTGTTGACACTTTTTTTGGCCCCAAATAAAATCAATTGCAATTAATTTCCTTCAGAGCTAAACTAATAAGTAAAGAATCCAGCTGTGAAACTGAATCTCAGTAGAAATGCGTCTGTTGTGGTCTGTTAGAGAACATTAGTGACATTAGTGATCTTTATACAAATGATAAAGATCTAAATAATGTTTTGAAACATGGATATAAAAGCAAATGCAGGTTGTTGTTTTTATTGCTATTTTTTTTCTTATCATTCAAGCCGTAGTATGTAACTGTCATAAAAAAATTTTTTTTTACATATTTATTACAACTATCACGATGTTGTGACAGTTTTGTGTGAGACAGATAACCTGTAAAAAATGGAGTTCCTCTGCTTTCTCCCAGAGCTAATTAGAAACAACCAATCAGAGGCAGGAAGCGGGTCTTAATGCTGTTAATCAACCTCCATGTGGTGTTGCTCATTCCCTTTCCCCTTTGCTAGCAGAATCTGTTGTGAATGCTAGGCTAGCTAGCATGGCCATGGATTAACTGTTTTTATGTACCAGTAAGTTGTTCATCCACTATTAGAACATTGAGCAGCAGGTACATGAGGGTGATTGACAGCACTAAGACCTTCCTCCTGGTTCTGATTGGTTGTCACATTTTACACTTTCACAACATGGGGATAGTTTTAACAAATATGTGAAAAACATGTCACCTTCCTTAAATAACAGGGGGAAAAAAACACTTTTTGCAAAAATGTCATGCCATTTTCTTAGGAAGGGAATCATATATATTTTTTAATTTAAAAGTTACATAGTGCGGCTTTAAGTTGGAAACTTTATGCTTTTATTTTTTTACGTCTTCTACAAATATCAACATCCTATAGAAGAAAATGTATCCATCCTCTTTTCTTCAATATGAATACAAGTAAAATGGCAGTCCTTAAAAAATGACAGTAAATTTAATATAGGAGATTTTTATCCAAAATTATATATTGTTTTTGTTTTGTTTATGTTTTTTTTTTTTTTTCAAATGTTCGTTAATGGCTGAGATTATCCAAATACCAATACAAGAACTAGTTTTTAAGATTTATTTATGTAAAAACAAAATGTGTCATTTTCCTCCACTTCACATTTACACACAACCTGTTTCAGTCTATTAGGAAAACATATTGGGAAATACATTAAATTTAGTTGATGCAATAAGGAAAAATGAGACAAGATTCAAGAAATACTTGAATTATTTTTTGAAAGATGTGGCATAGGACTGTAGAATGTGTCTCCTGCCACTCACTTCTTCATCTTTCCTCTTGATAAGCTTCTCTGTCTCCACGGCGGGCGTGGACAGCGGCAGGATCGGGATGGGACTCTCCACACGCTTATCCGCATTCATCTTACTGGAACAGGAAAAACTAATGTGACCAATAAGAAGAGGCAGCACTGGATCTGGCTGCTGTATGACAAACTGTTTCTGCTCAGACATGAGAGAAAAAAATTACTTTACCTGCTGAGTTTGTTCATTTCTTCATTTACAACAACAACAAAAAAATTAGCATCTTTACTGCAGTTCTATATTACTGGACAGAGGCTCCATCTTTTAAATTTCTGCTGAAATGCTGTAACACAGTGAAACTGAGCGTTGTGTTGTTAGAACTGCAGAGTGATGAAGGTATTTTTATGGCCCTCCTCTCTAATCTCCAACAGCATCCTGCTCCAAAGCTGCTTTCACCCACTCTCATCTGCAGACACTTTCCACAGAGGGGCATCCATCCCACACTAGAGACGCTTTGTGTGGAGTCTCTCCCACAGCTTTTAATTTTTTTTTTTTTTTTAGATTGCTTCTTGCACCCCGCTGCTCTAAAAAGTATTTCTTTTACTTTTCAGTTCTGGTTTGGTCCGTTTAACATAGAAAAATCGTGTCACCAAGGTTAGCATTGGCATTATCTTGAACACCTCTAAGGTTTTCATAACATCACACAAGAATAACATCAAAAAGTGCTCAAACACACACTGACTCTCTAACACACTGCTGTTAAAGACAATGGACGCTGGAAAAGACTAGTGTTTGTAATTCAGTACATTTATGTCTGTTTAAAGAAAAAGAAACATTTAAAGTCAATTCAGCTGTTTCTCTGCATCAGGTCATTATCGGCCGATACTAAAGCTCAGATAACTGCATCTTATTGGAAGTGAAAAAAGTGGATTCCTTAAAAGCAGTTAGCCTGTCAGCAAGGCTATTCAAGCATAACATAGCATCTCAGTGCTAAACATGTAGCAGCTAACGCTAATGTCAGCGTCCACAGTCCACATTTCTAAAGAAGCTCAATGACTGATCAGAACGTCCTGAAACTCTGGAAAGATAAATGTCTAATAACACTTTGCACCAATCTGATGGCTGAATAACATAAACCACAGATTAAAAACAATGAACATTTTTTGTTATAAATATGTGTATCTATTCAATAATTTCACAGAAAAAAAGAGTTTTTGAACTGAAAATGTTGCTTATGTAGTTTTTGATTAAAAAGCTGTAAACTCATTACAGACCCTGCAATTAACTTGATTAAAAATTTGAATCAACTTGCTGTCCCGTGGTTCCGGCTCACCTGGTCATGTTCTGGATGCATTGGGCCCGGTAGTTTTCATAGTGACAGTCGTTGGTGGTGTCCTTCAGGTCGTGCATGTGGGTCCTAATCAGCATGTTCCTGAGCTTCCCGAAGTCACAGTGGGATGGGTTCTCCACTGCAGGAAGAGACCGACATGAGAGGCCGCCATGCACCGGGAGCGGCGGCTGCAGACTGCAGCTCGGGGTCTTACCCTCCACGATCCCCCACGGGTAGAGGCGGCCCCTCACCCTCTGACCTCTGACCTCCAGCACTGTGTTCCCGCCGATCACTGCGAATGGAAGGCTCTCCTGCAGCGCCGACACTGACGTTTGAACATCCTGCAGTTTTATGATCACGCTTACAAATAACTGCCAACGTTAATGAGTGGGATTAAGGGGAATATTTTAATATTACATAACGCAGATTAATCAAACAACTCATGTTGATATTATACATGAGTAAATAAAACATTTTCTTAAAAATCTTTTGAAAACGTGCATAGGGTAGAGTGGCAGTTTTTAATAATATGGGCAGTTGCCCAGGGCAGCATCGGAAAGGGGTTGATCAACCAAGAACTGGAAAATAAAATATGTCAGTTGTTCCCTAAACAAGTTTGTTACTACATGTGTGGTCATGAGTACTGGGAGACTACATGAGCTACTTTCTGCTACAAAACAATAATAATCAGATAATATCTTGCATTTTAATTGGTTGGAGCGCAACAGGAGGAGGGGTTGGCTGTTCCCGAGAGAACCACAACTGCGTGGGTATTTAGATTTCAAGCTTACAAAGTTAGGCGTAGTGATTAATCACAGCGCTACAGTGTGATTAATTTGATTCCATTTTTGAACTGATTGACAGCATTAGAAATAACTCACTGCTTTAATCTGTAACCAAAAAATAACAAGTAAACTGAAAAATGCAATATCGGAGGTGGAAATAAAAAAACCCAGCAAACATATTATTCCTGAGCAGAGCGTGCTGTAATTAAATTTACTGCTCAAAACTTCAGCGTACATGTTTTAGGCCCTTTCATTTGAGACCAGGCCTACCTTCAGCCCTTTATCCTGCTGTTTGAGCTCCTCATCTTCATCAGAGTCGCAGTCGGGGAACTGGTAGATCTTTATCCCAAACTTATCGATCTCTTCCCTCACCTGGAAGGACCAAACACAACAGAGACACGACGGGTCACAGCAGGAACACATACGCCTCAGCATGCAGAGCTGGAACATTTCAGGAGAAGCGTGGGAGCTGGTTGTGAACACTCAAAATTCACTTCACATAAAATCTCCTTATGAGTCATTCTGAAACCGCTCCAGAGTCTAAATCTGACATCCTGCTGGTGAATGGGTTCTTTTTTTTGGCTGTTTGTTTAATTTACTTCAAACTAGAGAGTTCAAAAATAACAACACCCATCACATGACATGGGTTGTTTTCATACCTCAAGCATATAATTGCTGCACAGATTAAAAACATAGGCTCAAATTTCAAGATCTAAAAGTCTAAATGTTAAGTAAGGGTAATTATAAGGGAACTGGGGAATAAAGTTTGTGAAGCTGAATGGCCAAATGGGGTTTTGTGTTCTACAGGGAACAAAAGAAAGATTTTGTTAAATTTATTTCTAAAAATAAGATGAAACACTTTTAATGTGCGTCACAAATGGTGCAAACTGTATATTCACCATTATAATTATCACAACTGACAGATTTGAAGTGATTTGGAGTTTTTTATGTGGACATTTATTATGAATTCCAGTGATGAAGGTGAACAAATTAAACAAGTTCATGTTTATTCTGCTACTTTCAACACAAGAAGTAAGAAGGTGCATTAGGGGCGTAGAAAAAAAAGGTAGATTTCTGCCAAAAAAACTCAGAAGTTTTGAGATGAATCTCATAACTTTTCTACAAAAAAGAAGAAATATTCTGAATGCATAAAGTTGAAAATTTGGATGAAAAAAATGTAAAATTTTTTTGATAAATGTCATAAATTTTCTTAAAAAAAATAAAAACATGAAAATTTCAGATTTTGAAAAGTTGATAATTTTCTAGAAAAAACTTAAAAGTTCTGTGGCTAATCTCAGACATTTTCTAGAAAAATACAACGGCCCTAATACAGCGTCATAAATAAGTGACTAAAGCTACACTTCTTCAGAGTGTTCCAGGTTACAGCTCGCTGTCTGAATGTGGTTCTGCTGTTCATCAGCTTTATAAACTCTAAACCAGTTCCTGAAGTAAACAGATACCTGTTCTTTGATCCTCTTTATCTCAGAAGGCGTGAGGCAGTCGGCCTTAGCGATGAGCGGAACCACGTTGACTTTATCCTGCAGGGCCTTCATGAACTCCACATCGATGGGACGGAGCCTGGCAGAATGTTAAAGTAGCACACATTCAATACAATATAACAAATATTTCTTTTCATATTTATTCAGTTTTTGCGTTTGTGTTGCACTTAAACATTTCATATCATAAATGAGATTTTATTATTGCACAAATATAACCGGAGTAAATATAAAAAAATACTTTTTACATGATGATTTCATTTTGTAAGAGAAAATGAGATTAGGTGGATTAGATAACCAACTCTTGTGGGAAAGTTCAATCGCTCTCATAAAACCATGAAATAACTATCAATAATCATACTTTTTAGTTCTGTTAACCTGTAGACCCACACAAATTCCTAAACTGATGAAAAAAAGCCACAGGTCTGTAACATTTCTAACACAGATCACTGCTGACCAAAAAACGCAAAGGGTCATCTCACATTTTCCGAAAATAACAAACAAACAAATAAACAAACAAAAACCATTCAGATGAAGATTTCTAGGAAAATATTGTGTGGACTGATAAGACCGAAGTGAAGTTTTTGGAGGACGTGTTTCCTGGTTCTCTGCTGAGGAGCTGCATTAGACACAGAGCAGGAAACTGTCTGGGTTTCCTTTGACCACAGAACTAAACTAAAACTATTCAGCAGAAGGAGAGCGGAGCAGAATTTCTGCACAGCGACGTGACGGAGTCATTTATCATAGAAGTCTGATGGAAGTCATCACCACTAATGATGGCACAACAAATAACACATAGAGCTGGATGTGGGGTTGGTAGATGTTCTTCATTTTAAAATAGCTTTCTGTGTTTATTCAGTGAAACTTATTTGATGATCTGAAACTGAAGAAATGCGTTCAAGTTCTAGACACGTATGCCTCAGTGTATTTATGTGTGTGTGTGTGTGTGTGTGTGTGTGTGTGTGTGTGTGTGTGTGTGTGCAGTGGCGCAAAAATGTGGTATGCAGTATGCAACACATAGGGACGCAGCACCAGAAGGGGCGTCAAAACCCCGTCTGGAGGGGGCGGCGCCCCGATTCTGTTTTCCCATACACTTCAGTGCGCCTTACGGTCCTTCACCTCACGCTTGTTACGAGGTAAATGTGGCGAGTTTTACCCTTCACGTAACGTCGTCTCGGGAGGGGGAGGGGGGTTGAGCGAGCGTATGTTTTCCACGCTCCTTCAACCTTCCTTCGGGGAGTGGGGGATGGGAGGGGCGCCGATTTATGTTTTCGCATCTACCTGAATAATGTGTAGTTGCGCCACTGGGTGTGTGTATGTGTGTGTGTGTGTGTGTATTACCCTTGTCCAAATGGGGATATAAAGTAAAGGCAGCAGTGGACCCTGTTATCCTGGATGTTCTTCCTGTTCAGTCCACTTTCATCCCTGAAGTATTGTTCAAACTGCTGGTTGATGTAGTCTGTTACCGGAGTCCAGCTACGACACACAAGCATACACCTGTCACTGCATGGCTGTTCTAGAAGGCAGCAGGAAGTAACTTAGCAGAATAGCTGAAAAGTCACATCTCCAGGGAAACAGCAGGAGCTGTGAGAGCTAGAAATATCATCAATAGAATGTGTCCACATGGCTCTCAGGCACTACAAACACACAGATAGCTGTGGAAACTATAAACAGACCATGATATGAAGGCACCAATCCACTTTATTCCCCTCTGATACCGATATCTGAGGCTTAGTATCAGCCGATACCGATCCGATATAGAAAAGATGAATTCACTACATTTTTTTTATCAGACATAAATGTACTGAATTACATTTTTTTTTCCAAAATTTATTTATGCTTTAACATGAGGTACAATGTAAAGACAGAGCAATAGTTATATAGTTAACAGTGTACCATTAACATACAAACCTAATTGGACTAGAACACACCCAATTATACACACATACATACACCTACATGAAATACATGAAATGGATTAATTAATTTAATTTATTAATAAATAAATTAATAAATTAATTTATTTATTTTTTATTCAAAAAATAAATTAATTAAAAAGGAGCACAGTTAGAAATGTATTGTTTAACTCTACACCAGGACAGCTGAAAGGTGAACTCATGCCTGCCTCATGAGCAAGGCATCAGATCCCAGCCGATGTGTTGAACATCCATAACTGTTAGTCGTGCCAACTAGCTCTCTGTCAGGGACAACAAAACTGTATGATTCACAAAAACAAGCTTCGTTCTGTTAATGTGAGACAGTGTCCCTGTCATGTTGCTCTACAACCTGGTTGCCATGCCAACCACTGTCTCTACTGCAGGTTGATTAAATTTGAGGGTACAGGATTTGGTTTGCTTCGGTGGGGTAAAATAAAAGTCTTTGCAGCTCTGCATATGAATTGTCAAAATCCATTTGTGTTCATCTAATAATTAAAAACATTGTGTGTCTCTGTTTCCTCTGCTCCAGTCAGCAGCAGTTCTTGCATGACTGGCCTCATGGGTCAAATGTACAAAACACAAGAGATTTGAACAAGTTCTAAATGTTTTCACTTATAGGTTTCACAAATCCAAAACTGAATTCAGTCCAAGTTTGACCAGCATATTTGGAGATTTTAATTAATTAAAGGCTTTTAATCAATGCTAAAAAGGCAATAGAGTCTGTTATCAGACGCCACGTCCAGCCATGTTTTCTTACATTGCTGAAGTTTTTTTTAATAAGGCTTCCTCGCCTCTCCATTGACTGAAAATTACATAATGCAAGAACAAAATGTGGGGTTTTTTGTGTATAACTTTGCTGCAGGTTAAAAAGAACAGTTCAAATGTTGCTGTGCAAGCTAACGCTAACGATGTGATAAATCAATAACAATATGGTAATCGACACCTGATCAATGTCAATAGATGATATGTCTGATAGGATATTCAACTATTTCACTGAACTCCCACCCAGAACCGCACAGCATTCTGGGAGATGAAGGCAGAGGAAACGCTTTAGTTGCTCAACTTCTGAAAGCAGGGTTGGTGGCATCAACTAAATCACTCACTCTTTGGTTACCTAGCAACAACCTGTTGAGTAACTTCTGCAGCAGCAGTTTAAGGTTTTACCACCATGCCTCATAACTGCTTGAAAATTATATAAAAAACAATCTATTGATTGAAAATGAGAAAATGTTTTTCTTCAAACCACTAGCGCTGTCCCCTTGATCTCACGACGCCCTCGGTAGAGAGCCATGTTGTTCATGTCAACTAATCTCACAGGGCATTTGAAGAGAACCTTTATAAAACTAGATTATTCTTAATAAAAATAATAATCAAAGAAATAAAAGAAAAATAAGAACAGAGCCAGTGTGGGCTGAGATACACAATCAAACAACTTTGTTTTTAAATGTGTCCTGTAAAAAGAAATCACTCATGCTATCAGAGCTCCTGGACAAAGTTTGAATGTTTTTTACCACTCTGTGTTGTTGACAGCGTCTCCAAAACCTGGCACATCCACGATGGTGAGCTTGAGCTTCACGCCCTTCTCCTCGATGTCCACCGTGCGCTTTGTGATCTCCACCGTCTGCTGGATGCGCTCTTTTCAGAGAGGAGAAACGTCACACAGCAGTCAGACGGATATTCAGACTAAAACCGTAAAGACAAAAACAGAATCAGCAGCTCACCCTCAGCATTGAGCAGCTTCCTCTCTTTGTACAGGTCAGTGAGGAAAAGGCTGTTGACCAGCGTAGATTTACCCAGGCCAAACTCACCTGCATCACAAAGGTTTTAGTTGCTACAGTTTAGTATATATATATATATATATATATATATATATATATATATATATATATATATATATATATATACTATAGATGACCAGCATGCTCACCTGCCACCATGAGTGTGAAGTCGAAGCCTTTCTTCACTGATTTCCTGTGCAGTTGGTTGGGCAGTGTCGCAAAACCCACATACTCTTTGTCCTAGAGACAAGCAAACAGTGATGTTACAGCACACACACACCCACACACACACACACACACACACACACACACACACACACACACACACACACACACACACACACACACACACACACTTTATGATGCAGTGAGGATGCAGAGAGAGGACTCCTGATAGACTGCGGAAGCTCTGCAAGTCAATGAGTCAAGGAAATCTGATAGGATTCCTTAGAAACATCAAAACTAATTTAAATGATCTGAACTTAATGCAATATTTCATAACTATGATCAACTGGAATGTATGTGTGATTGCATTGAAATAACCTCGAGACGGCATTTGTTGTAAATTGAAATAATAATAAATTAAATTAAATTAAATTAAATTAAATTAAGGAATTGAATCGAATTGAACTGAATTGAACTAAATTGAACTGAATCAAACAGGTTTAAGTTTAGCCACAGTGAAAGGTCCCAAGAAGCCTCTCACAGCTCTGGAGCTGCAGGTTGCACTAAAGCAACATTCGCCCAGTTGCACCCACTTAACAAACACACACTCACTCAGCGACACACAGACCAGTAGGCAACTTGGACTCAAATGCCTTCCCAGAGGCACATGGACTGTTCTACCCTCTGAGTCTCAGTACGTCCAACCTGTGTCCCTCATCAATATTTTTCTCACATTTGTTGAATCAGAACCAAGAAAGCAGAAGAGAGACAGAAACAGAGACACGTTTTGAGTCTCTCATTCGAATTCAGACACGCCGTCACTGTTGGACTACAAAGAGACATGCATGACTTCAAAATGGAGAACAGCTCTCCTGGTTCTCCTTCAGAACGCTGACACTGTCAGTTTTTACAGATGGAGGAGCAGAAGAAGTAACTCCAAAGTTCAGGCAGCAGCTTTAAAGGCTCAACCAGCCTTTTCAGTTCTATCATTCATGAGGCTAAAGTTGAATTAGGTCATGCATAATGATGCCTGAATTAAAAATGACTGAATATCATTTGCATATTTAAGCACAGCATCCTATCAGAATAAGACCTAACAAGATGTTAGTTTAAATCAGGCTGAATATGGTTGGTTAGTTAATCCAGTCTCAGCTCTGTACCTCTCTGTTCTGACCAGCAGGGTGAGGACCGGTGAGTGCACTGGAAAAAAATGTTTCTTTGAGCAACATTTTTAAAAATAACTCTAATTTGTTTCAACTAATTTTATTAATTTTGCTCAAGCTGTAATTTTGATTTGAATAATTCTGAAATCAGATTTATAGCTTGAGCAATTAGCTGTAATGCATTATTTTTTTTAAGTTGGTGAAGAACACTCCATGAATTATATTTACTTTGCAGGTCCATAACAATACATATGAATATGAGAGAAAAATGTTTTTATTTCTGTATCATTCATAACGTGGAAATCTAAAGATATGGATTTTAATTTCATAATTCCATTTTGTGTTTTCTGGCAGCGTGGGCCGGTGACAGGTCCTGATAGAAGATACAATCAACATCTTCATCACTGAAAGAAAAAACTGAGTTAATTTAATCGAATTAAGTTTGTCAAACTTACTTTAATTATGATTGTTTAACATGACAACTTAGCAAACTTAATATATTTACTTGGATAAACTTCATTTAGTAACTCGTAATAAGTAAACTCAATGTTTTTAAAGCTAGATCACCTACTTTTTTTTATTTTCTTTCAATGTTCATACTAGACTTGAAGCAAAGTGGATTATATTCCTGTCCACTCTGGCTCTTGATTTCCAATAGAAACATAAACTTTGTCAGGTTAAGGACTGATAACAGGGAATCTTTCCTGACTCTCTGACTACACTTTTCTTTTCTGTCCTCTCAAGGCTGCCGTTATCCTGTGCGTCTTTTCCTTCCACTCAACTTTCTATTAACGTGCTAGGATACAGCTCATGATATTCTTATTTATTAGTAGGTACATGCATAAATCATATTTCAATGCTCTCAGTCATTACCCCCTATCTTGACATCATCTCCATCAGCTGTCGTAAATGCAGACGGTGTCACGCAGCTGAAGATGGGTCTTTTCAACACATTTTTTGCACAAACACACACACACTCACACACCTCCATCAGCCCTGTGCTCTTTACCTCCGAATCCTCTGGCATCACGAAGCCGAATTCCAGCAGACATGGAGCGTTCACAAGGCGGAGGAGAAGCGGAGAGAGACAAGGAGAGAACCAGACATGAAAGCTGGATCACCCAACCTGCCGGTGTGTGTGTGTGTGTGCGTGTGTGTGTGTCGGTTCTCTACCACCTGAGGGAAGCTCACCTGCACGGAGCGCGCGGCTCCGGTACCTGCTGATGGACGTCATGATGGACCCGGTGGAAGATGCTGTTAGGCTGAATGGAAGAGGCGGGTCAGAGCAGAACCAAATGTCCGTCACCGCGGCACGAGGACAGGAAGGGAGCAGACACGAGCCAAAACGAACCCGAATCACACGGAGAAAAGTACATTTGTCACCGTGTCTTCCTGGACGTGCATTCAGACGGTCCCTGGTTCTGGTAATGCTGTGTGGGTGAAAAAAAAAGAAAAACTATATTAGCAATACACCAGGCTACCAGGTGGGGGCAGTGTCGGTCTTCACGTAAACAAAGACACTAAAGCTGTTTTCAAATGGGCCACTCTGTTGCGTCGGCAAAATAATAAA